TATTTTAACCCGAGAGGAGGAAAACTTTTGAGACCTGCAGGACCGACCGCCATTAGGGTCAAACGACCACATCACGCTCTACTTCGACTACTCACCGTTTTCCAAATCCGTTCAACCCGATAGGTGGGAAGGAGACATTTGGAAGGGGAACTATTCTCTCATGAGGAGCGAAGCGACAGAGGTATCATGGGAGACTGAACTGCATGGTTGGGCAAACGACAACTGGAATACTTTCACTTCTTTACTGAAAGAGATTGTTTATTCCAATTTTCCTCTCAGAAAAAAGACAATCACAAACCGCCCAAAATGGAGGAACTCGGACATAAAGGCCTCTTTCAGAAAAATGAATCGCCTGTGGAGGCGTTACAGACAAACTGGCTCCGAAGAACATTTAAAGGAATAAACGCAGCGACAAAACGTTTGTAAAAGTGAGGCCTCAAAGCTGCGAAAGAAGTTCGAACAAAACATACTTCAAAATTTGTCGGAGCATCCGAAAATTCTATATGGCTCTATACGAAGTACCAAAAGGGCCCAGGAGGTAATCCCTGCCCTTAGGTCTGCAGATGGAGAAGTAGAGATTGATGACCAGATTAAAGCGTCCCTCCTTTCTGAATTCTTTCAGTCTGTCTTTACCCGAGAACCTAGTTCTATATTCTCCCATCCATCCGTTCAACAACCAACGTCTCCTTCAACTACCCTCCACGCGTTACCCCCTCCCTACCGTCATTAACCGAGGAACCACTCTTTTAATTTACCATGGTTTTGGGCCAAACTACTCCGGCTGAAACCTGTCACATCGTCTGGCCCAGATAGAATTCCCGCACTAGCACTTCGGGAACTTGCTAATGAACTGTGCAAACCCTTATCCGCAATATTTCAAAAGTCATTTGAAGACGGTGAGCTCCCGGAAGAGTGGAAGTGCGCACTCATTACTGCGATCCACAAAGGAGGCTCAAGACTTGACTGCGGAAATTATCATTCCGTCAGTCTTACTTGCATCGCGTGTAAAATAATGGAACGCATTATCAAAAGACACTTGATGAAATACCTGGAACAGAACAAAATACTCTGTGATGCCCAGCATGGCTTTCGTCCAGGACGCTCCCACCTAACGAGTTTTCTTAACTCGTACGAGAAATGAACAAGGCCTACTGATAAGAGTTATCCAGTGGATGTCATATTTTTGACCTCAAGAAGGCCATTGAGAGTGGCCCCACAGGCTTCTTTTACAGAAGATCTGGGATGTAGGAATTAAAACAAGTATATGTAAGTGGATCAGGAGTTTTCTGTCCTCCAGAGTACAAAGAGTGGGCGTTGGTAACTCTGCCTCGGAATGGGCGAAGGTGGAAATTGGTGTGCCGCAGGATTCTGTCTTAGGCCAAGTACTCTTCCTGATTTATGTTATGACTGCAAAAGCGAACTGGATTGAGAGGCCCTCATGTTCGCGGATGACATAATCATATGGAGTAAAGTCAAATGCGATGATGACGCAGAGAAGTTGCAGTCGAACATCGACAAACTGTGTGTTTGGTCAAACAGATGGCATTTAAAGTTTAACGTGTCTAAATGCGTGATCTTGCACCTGAACACCGGCCGCAATGCCTCTCCCAAACACCAGTACTTTATTAACGGGACGGCGCTAGAAACTGTAGAAAGGCACAGAGATCTGGGTGTATGGATGACCACAAGTCTAGTGCCATCAGGACACTGTAGAAAGATAGTCCATGAGACAACTTGTACTCTACACTGGATCAGACGTGCATTTAAAATATTCCCTTCTGCACTCTTCGGAGGACTTTTTGGCGTCTTTGTAAAACCCCATCTGGAGTATGGAATGCCACGCAGCTTTACTATAGATGAGGAAAGATATCGACTTACTCGAACAGGTGCAACGCAGAGCAACGAAGATGGTCGACGGTCTAAAGCATTTGTCGTACCAGGAGAGGCAGAATGTGGTTGGCTTATTCCCTCTGTCTTATAGACAACTACACTGCAGTCTACTCTGGACTTTCGGGATTGTCCGCGGCCAAATTTGCTCATTAAGAAGGGAGGACTTCTTTGAGTTTGCCCGTAAAAACCAATTTCGCGGTCATGCCTACAAAGTCAAGAGTGAGCGCACGCGGTTAGATCGTAGAAAGTTTTCATTCTGCCAGCGGGTTTTCCGACCGTGGAACTCGCTTCCAAGCGAGATCGTGACGGATGACATCATTTGCATGTTTAAAAGAAAACTTGCTCGCCTAATTTTCGACAGAAATCGGCTTTTACAGCATGACTAGACAAAGCCAGTTCTGTAAAGCACTGTTAGATACAATCCCTCCGCACTGAATTACAGAGACTCGATGCATTTCCCTATTATTAAGATTTACTGTGACCCGATCACATTGTAAATGCCGGCAATTTTATTTTGAGTGCGAATCTGCGAAAGCACTGTACATAAATAGGGTCATCAAGGGCTCTCTCTCTATCCCTCTAAATATATATGTATGCATTTACAATTCGCCAAATGTCACGTAATTAATATGACTTGTAAGCCTTTTAATAGTTAGGGTACTGCTGCACATCGGGGAAATTTCTTGCATGGAACAGGACTCCCCTTTCGATTGAATTCTGTGCGAATTCCTGTCATACATCCTCAAGGGGTATTCGCAAACCTGAAGAGGCTTCTTTTCCGTATGGCACGATGGGTGTGATCAGAATCTTCCTTGCCTGAATGCAGAAACATCCGTCCAGGACCAGAAACAGACGAACTTACTACGGTCGTCAATAGTTCACTTAGGGTCGAAACGGGAAGGACTCGTTAAAGAATTTCGTGGACAATTAACAGTCGCACCCAGCAAGGTAGTGAACATGACGGACACATAGAAGTGAGGAGGCGAGTTCCAGGAAGTTGTCGCGAAGAAGGCGACATTAATGGAAAATATTTGGACAGCTACAGCCTATAACATCGCCTGATGCCAACGGCACTTCCACAAAAGTTATGAAATAGCTCGCTGACCAGCTGACCTTTCCTTTCCGAAAGGTCTTTGAGACTTTCATGGGGGCTGGAGATCTGTCTACTGACTGGGATCATGTCATCATGATCCCATATGAAAAGGGTGTGACGGAACCTCACGAAATATTTTCAAGACCTTGAAGTTCATAAGCATTTGCTGTGAAGTGTCAGCTTTAGTCAGTTAAATAAAAAAATAATAGAAATCCATTTAATAAGGCCTTTTGAGGCACAACACTTACTTATAGTGTATTAGCATGAATTAAGAAGATGTACATCCTACCTCAACAACCCACTCATGTTCACGGAAGACTGGACGAAGGTAATAGGGGAGTTTATAAGTAGAAGCCGCCTGCACCGGCACTAGGTTTTTAAACAATTTTCTGCACAGACGAATGGTATTTAAATTACTTTAAATAGGTGTGACTAGGGCTTATCGAATAGCCGGACGAATTCCTCCCCAACAGACTCAAGAGTTTTGTGTTGGTAACCCCAAATCAGAGTGAGCAATATTTTCCAGCGACAGTCCCAGGGGAGTGTTTCCAGTTCCATCCCGCTTTTAATATGTTCGAAAGACCGACTGGGTTGCCTAACATGCCAGAGGACAATGTTTGTTGGTGATCCGAAGTTGTGGAAGCCGATAGCAAATGCACTACAGTTTGAAAATAACTTGGATCGTTCACAACAGTGGTGCGCTGAGTGGTTTCCAAGCCTGAATTTTAGCGAACTCCAAGTTGTAGGATTACAATCAAGCTGTCATATTTGGATATCACAAATAATTCAGAGGTCATCAACTCGAACCAGTTAACGAAAATAAGAGACTTTGGCGTATGAATGGATTCCACTCTTAAAACATTACTTCATCGTCAAGATATTAGGGAAAGCAATGAAGAGTGTGGACGGATTAAGAGACAATTCGGCCATTTTACAAAGGGCTTTTTAGTCGAAATTAAAAAAATTTCCTGACCAGTGACAGAATATTGCGTTCAGGCATGGCGCCCATGGATGAATTAAGCTTACAATGTTTTATTAAACGTACAATGAAGAGCGAACCAAATAGTCGCGAATAAAAATAAATACCTTATGAATCGGCTAGAAAGGCTTACAAATTTCCAAGCTCTTGTAGACACTACATACGGGACGTGAACATAACTTTGAAAACGTCAGAAGGATAGAATGTGCCTTCCAGTTTTCGGAATTTTTGAACTGACATGAATGACGAATCTAAGAGGTAACCTATGTAAAATTACAATAGGCAGCGCAGAATTTGAAGTATTGGATCTACGCCATGATTTTCCCGGTTGAGTGGCAAATAAACTGAAAGGTCGTGGAAGGTTGAAAGTATGTACAACAGAATCTTGAATGTCAACCCTGCTGTGACACGTTACCGTTGCACGGACTGGGTCAAACTGCGATGGACGGGAATATGGCCCATTTTGAGATGCCATAAATATCCTATTTTTACCAAAAATGATTAATAATACAGCGAGTTTTTTTTTCAGAAGAAATAGTCCATCCCAATGCTGGAGAATATTGGCAGACATGTACAACCTCCATTGTTCTACTATCGAATGTAGGAGTTCTTAGCTAATCCTTGCCTTTCGTACGTTTGTAGTGGTGCTCGTGGACGGTTGCTGTATAAACGATACTCCAAGATATGAGTGATTTAATGCCAACGACGGAAAGCGCTTGTCAGGAAAGTCCAGCATCACCTTCCGATTTGTAATTTACACTGCGGAAAACTGGATTAGAACATTTCATGTTGTTAAATCTGCAAAAACAACGATTGTCACAGTTTCATGAATTTAACAACCATCAGAGGCCTATTTTAATACTCTCACAGATCCCTGCTGAACGTTCGCTCACTACTTTATAGTCCACGGACATTCCTTCACGAATTGCTGATTGTGAACCTTAAACTGTTTTGAAGGCTTCGCGTGATCTGTTTTAATTAATCGACGAAGGCTTTCTTGTGCCCGGGCTCGCATTTCGAAATTTGAACACCGTTGGCATGCGTGAGATCGTTCATGTTCAAGCTGGGCAGTGCGGAAACCAGATTGGTTCTAAGGTAATTTACTGCCCTTTACACTTTATTTTTCTAGTTCTGGGAGGTCATTTCTGATGAGCATGGAATAGACCCAACTGGGACGTACCATGGCGATTCCGACCTGCAGTTGGAGCGCATCAACGTTTACTTCAACGAAGCTACGGGAGGGAAGTATGTGCCTAGGGCTGTCCTCGTGGATCTTGAGCCTGGCACAATGGACAGTGTTCGTGCTGGACCGTTTGGACAATTGTTTCGCCCAGACAACTTTGTCTTCGGACAGAGCGGTGCCGGCAACAATTGGGCAAAGGGTCATTATACCGAGGGTGCCGAGTTAGTTGACTCCGTCCTCGATGTAGTGCGGAAGGAGGCTGAGTCCTGTGACTGCCTGCAGGGATTTCAGCTGACACATTCCCTCGGAGGAGGGACGGGTTCCGGCATGGGGACGCTCCTTATTTCAAAGATCCGCGAGGAATATCCTGATCGTATTATGACCACATTCTCCGTTGTTCCGTCTCCCAAGGTAATGCATTGCACGTTCTAAATTCGATTTGATTAGGTTTCTGATACCGTTGTTGAACCGTACAATGCCACCCTATCTGTACATCAACTGGTTGAGAACACGGACGAGACCTACTGCATCGATAACGAGGCTCTCTACGACATATGCTTCCGCACTTTGAAGCTTACAAACCCGACATACAGCGACCTGAACCATCTTGTGAGCGCGACGATGTCTGGCGTCACGACCTGCTTCCGTTTTCCTGGTCAACTGAACGCTGATCTGCGCAAACTAGCTGTGAACATGGTCCCGTTCCCGCGCCTTCACTTCTTCATGCCTGGCTTTGCGCCACTCACAAGTCGCGGGAGCCAGCAGTACCGTGCGTTGACTGTTTCCGAGCTGACACAACAGATGTTTGACGCGAAGAACATGATGGCCGCTTGTGATCCGCGCCATGGTCGTTACCTCACCGTCGCTGCCATATTCCGTGGTCGCATGTCAATGAAGGAGGTTGATGAGCAGATGCTGAATGTCCAGAACAAGAACTCAAGCTACTTTGTGGAGTGGATTCCGAACAATGTGAAGACGGCCGTTTGTGACATCCCACCTCGCGGTTTGAAGATGTCAGCTACGTTCGTTGGCAACAGCACTGCTATCCAGGAGCTGTTCAAACGTGTGAGCGAGCAGTTTACCGCTATGTTCCGCAGGAAGGCCTTCCTCCACTGGTATACTGGTGAAGGCATGGATGAGATGGAGTTCACCGAAGCAGAATCGAACATGAACGATCTCGTGAGTGAGTATCAGCAGTATCAAGATGCTACTGCTGATGATGAAGGTGAATTCGAAGAGGATGTCGACGATGAATAGACTTAGCTCATAAAGATTAAAATCGTGTTTTATTTTTCTACCCGCTGTAGAGATCTGCTATGTTTGAATATATTGTTTTTATCCCGAAGTCTTTGCTTCCACGGTCGTGAGGTTAATCGCTATGCGAGGTGTTGCGACATGGTTCGTTAGACTACCTACTATTGGTGGGACGGCGGGTTTTATCGTGTTGGCAGTCTCGCTTCGTGTCACCTTCGACTGTCCATCTTACCCTTGCTAGGGTGAATGGGTAAACACAAGCGCCCTCCTGGTCCCCGCATTAGGTTGATCTGGTCGTTTTTACGGTCGATGAGTGGGTGGCTGTCTGTTTCAAATAGACCGAGCACGACAGTTATTCGGCTAGCTTTGCGTAGTCTCATGCCCCTAGATTCCCCTTCAAATGGGGTTTTGCTGAACGCTTTGGGTGATGACGTTGATCCTAAGACCTACGGATCGAAGTTTCTCGCAGACGTTGGTGAGGCCCTGCCACCGTGAATGTCCGCGGCGGGGGATCTGGTCCCGGTCCATCGCTCTTGGTTGGTACAGTTGCTTTCAGCAGAGCCTCGCTCGCCGGTCGCCCCCTGCTTCTGGTGTTAACAGCTTTATCCCACGGAGCAGCAGATATCCGTAGGGATAGGCGCTTGAGTCCGCTCCCGAGTCTTCAGTTTATCTCTGATGGAGAACGAATGTCAACCTCCAGCACGCGCTGGCGCCTTAGCTTAAAAGCGGGTCCAAGTGTCCTGCCCACAGCTCTGCCGTCGAGTATGCATCGGGTGTCGTTCGAATCAAGCGTAGGCTTGCGCAGCGTCCGTCTCACCCCCCGCCCGGACTGGGTTCCGATTGTTGTCCCCGACTGGCAAGGCAGTCTTGCATGCGACCTGGTTGTTTCATCCCAGAACGGGGGGCACTACTTAGCGAGTTCCTCGCTTACCAACCATTAATTGCCGGACGTGCCTAAGGGTGACGAATGGTGGAGCATTTTTTAATAGAGGTTAGCTGCCAGGCTCATACTGTCGGGCCTGACGACTAAATAGTGGCAGGCATGCAGCGACAAGTTTGACGCACTGACTGTCCTGTGAAATACAGCCCAGAATGGTGGCGGAAATGTGGCGTGGCGACTTTGGACTGTCTTCCCACGAGTTCGATTCATCGCTGTCTTGAGCCTGGGTTCCGCCAAGCCCAAACGACGGGAAATAAATTTGGACAGGCAACCTTGGTGGACGGCGAGGACTAGTCCATACTTGTATTCGCTGCGAACCGTCATGTAGTGCTGACAGTCTTGAAGCTGGGTTCATCGTAGCAGATCGGAGCGTGGTAGCTTAAACTGACAATGCCTATGAGTCAGACCGTGGTCTTGTTCGAATCTTATCTGCGCTCGCGCTGTCTTGTAGGAGCTGCCTTGGTGTAGTCAGATTACGACAACCTAACACACACATGAACGCATTAATCCGATCTTCCTATGCAGTCATAGTCGAAGGGATGGGTTGCAACTGTGTGCCATCAGTTGTCGAATTTGCCTTGCGTCGCCGCCCAAGGACCTCATAATTGTCCGTTCAGGCATCTCTAGCTATAGCTCCTTGTGGCGACTAGTTCCGTAAACTTCGTACGATCTTAGTTGGGATCACCCAATGAGGACCGAGGGAGGCCGCAAGTAGATGGCTCGGACGGATCCTAACCTTGGCGTTCCACCACACCCCCTGGTCCACACAACAAATAACCAGGATTTCAACCCACACAACAGAGCTTGGAGGCTGGCACGGTCGAAGCCGCACCTAGGCGTGCCGCCGACGCCTGGTTCGGATCCCACACAGCCGGAGTGCCATAAAGGCCACATTAAGAAAGAGCACTTAACTGTCCCTGGGACCAACCGAACAATTCAAAGTGCCGATACAAGCGAAAATGCGAGTTCCAGGAAGTAGTTGATCAGAAGAAGAAGCGATCGCTGGAACAATGGCTTTATTCGCCTGACGTTTCGGATTCCGAATCGAAACGTCAGGCGAATAAAGCCATTGTTCCAGCGATCGCTTCTTCTTCTGATCAATTCAAAGTGCTTGCAAAAGGTGGTCATGAAATGGCTTCGATCTCAGTGTTTAAAAAACGATTAAAGTGGGACGCTGAGCCTACTAGAGAAGTCTTCCGAGCAGGAGTGTGTCTGCAAAGGTCACTGTAACAAAATTGAGGCGGTCGGCGTGACGCAGAGCGATGTTTTTCGCTTTTGATGATCGGTCGCAACTGAAAAAGCTCGGGCACAGACACAAACACCTCATGCTCTGTCAGCCTTTACTACCGATTTTGGTAACTTCGACCCATCCAACATCACAATTCGACTAAATATCATGGACACGACGAAAACAAAGATTATAGGCAATGCGAACTCAGCCGTCGGCAGACGGAAGAAACTGATAAAGGCTAAACGTCAACCCCCGATCGATGCCCGAGCAGTTCAGCACGGTGCCTAATCCTACAGGTTTGTCAAGTACATACATGCATTCAGCACCACAAACCCACGGTCATGGACAGTCGAAGCAAAGAGTGTGTGTGTTTGGATCACAGACAGAGTAACCAGCGTCCGCCCTAGCGGGGGTTGGTCGGTCAGTCCGAATGGTTGTGATTGGCTGGCGAAGAAAGCAAGAAACTTTGACGCGACTGATTGCATGTTAGGACCGAGGCGTGTGAGTTTCGAGACTAATGGTGGATATGCGACAGCAGTGTCCGAGAAGGGGAAACAGTTACAATCGAGGGCGCGACACTATCATTAGCGTCTATGAACACAATATTCTCGATCCACCCTCCTCTCTCGATCCTCAGAAAACAGCGAACAAAGGACCTCGCCAGTGTGCACTTCAGATTGAAACAACCTTTCGTCAGAGGTTGTGTCTCGGGGCGGGGAAGGAGGACCTTACAGAGACGACAGAGTGCGTATCACTGTGACTCGCTGTCTACAGTTTGGAAGGAAATCACGTATTGACTCCCGCACAGAATGTTGTCGGAGTCCGCTGGCCCATGCTTCCGAGTTGGTTGAGCAACAGTGCATCTGCATCAGACTTGGAGAGGTGATTGGCTGATTTGAAGGGCTGTGATTGGCTGGACACCACGGAGAGCCCCACAGTGTCAGAGCTTGACCAGACGCGATGACAGCATCATCTAGGGCCTTGCAATTTTGGACGGGTAGACTGCCTTCGGTGCGAATGTGCAAGAATGCACTAGACGGAAACGCATTGCGACAGAAGACGCAGGATGCAGGATTAGCATATTACTTCGCCGCAAACAGACGATGGTACAGGCCGATAATAAGACAAATTAGACCTCTGACCGCCAATCCCGAAATCAACGTCCTAGTCTCTCTTAGGACTAGCAGGCATTACGCTCTCACTCCCGGGCGGGGAGCTGTTAGTCGTTCATTACTACTGCTGACAGACTCTTGCTCTGACCCGAAATATCAGACAGCCAGGAGGACTGATCTGCCCATCGAATTTCCTCTTACGTAATTCATTCTGAAAGGCAGAGGAAGCGAGATAAATAAACCAGCCCCACGCCAGATACCTTGCGTCATTTGCAACGGTAAATACCGAGGTGAGGATTCAAATCCACTGGACGGAGACTTCGGTTTTCAGTCAACCCCCCAGGATTCGGCAGGGACGCGGTCAAAAGAATATAGCGTTTTCTTGGACTTTCCAATAAAAACCTGTCGTAGTCGTTAGTTACAGCGGACAGAACAGTACTTGAAAAGGACAGATAAAAGGAGATTGCAGCGTCTGATGCCAACATCGATTGTGTGGTCGTGTGGTCTTTTGGTTGAGTGGCAACATGCCACAGTTCAAGAGCACGTGATCATTCTCCCTAACCAATCAGTTAACCAAGTTGATTTCTGTAAGGACCGAAAAATGGCCCTCTGAGGAAAATGCTTTTACTTTTGCAAGTCTACCAATTCCTTGAGGTGAACAAATAACCCAGACATGAATCTACAGAATATCTGTCGCGGATCCGTGTCCCGGTCACTCTGGCGATCAAATTTTCTATAAAGGACTCCACATGTCAAATTAATTTTGACGACTCTGGAGCCGTCCGGAAATTGCTTTGATTCACTTGCCTCGGGATCCGGATGGGCATGTGGCTGTCTGCCTCCGTGGTCGCTCGCCCACGCTGCTTTCAGTCCGCTCAACACTGGCCAATCAACGCCGCACACCCCTCTGATTGGCTGAAGGCAGTCAAGACTCAGGCGCACGCATACACCACGCGCCGGCGGTAACAGCCTGAGTAGCTCTCACTCGGCTAGTGAGAGCAATTGCTGCCACTGCTGACTCTCGTGTAAGCGACTTTCGAATAACTGTCTACCTTGACTTCTGATTTGGAAATCTTCTAGTTGTCAGTTATCGTACTTTGAGATAGACTCATCTTCAAAATGAGTTCAACTGTTCAGGAGTTGTGCAGCACCGCTTAATTATAGGTGACATAGGGCGCGACCTTGGCCACAATGCGATTTGCGCAGACAACGAGACCTTGACTAGACTTTTGGACGGTGGCCGCTTATGCATTCTGCCCAAAGCTAAGGTTACTCTCCCAGCCTCGATCTCCTGACCTCTGAGTTTGAAGTCCCGCGGCACCCTTGAGTTCTATGAGGTCGAAATGCCCATGAGAGGTGACAACTGCGTGACATGCTTGATTCGTGACCCCCCGGCCCTCAGTCCATTAAGGAGCGTAGTGACCTCCAATCTTCGTATTCGAGTCCGGTACTTTACTGGGGCAGAGTAATCGGCTAGATCGACAGGGCGTGAGCGGACGCTGCTCTCAGTGACAGTATCAGCGAGCTAAATTGCCGAGTAATTATAATGTGAATAATCAACACGAGTTATTGAATTATGGGGATTAAAGATTTAGATGCAGACAAGCAAGCCATCACCGCACTACCTACGAATACGGCAGCTGCTAATTATGGCAGGCGCATGACTCGGCGTAGCAAATGCGTCCTATGAATACTGCACCCCTTGTGCGCCTACCGCCCTTATCTGCGATTGGATTATGGGTTTGATTGAGAATCCGAAACGTCAGGCGGATAAGTTTCCTTGCCTCAGCGATTGTATATCCTTTCTCTGATTCGACTCTTGGGACTCACTTCCTACCTCCTATTGGTCGACGATGTAAGCACCCAATGCGTTCACCTGTCCCCGCCTCTGGCAGCAGGGATCATGAGCAGTGCTCCGCTGAGCAGACGGAGCACTCGGGCGTTCCGCGAGGCGGACATCCGTGCGGCGGTGGGTCGCGACAGGCTATCGGGCAATCCCTCAGCGGATGTGGCCGTGTACACCGTCCGGCCAGCATCAGGGACCCATATAAACGGCAGGCGGCCATCCCCTCACAAGACTCCGTCCGCAGAGCGCACTCCTACCGCACAGACAGCTTAACCGTGTAGAATAAACCCAGTTGGCTGGCGCCTACCACCTTCGATAATGAAATCGTGCGCCACCACAGAGGCGGCAAGACGGGAGTCGTCGAAGGATCGCCGCGTTTCGATGAATTGAAAACCCACCGAAATTTAGGTGAGTAACCGACAGAGGGTCCCAGGTGCAGTCGACCCGTGCGTCACGATCCCTGATCACAGTGAAGTTGGCCGTTGCGTACGGACTACTATAGTCAACTACTATAGTGCACCAGAGAACCGGCTGAGCGCGGTTGAGCAGCCAACTACCCTAGCCGCTGGCCAATTAGATAAAAATGTTTCAGAACACATTGGATCGGTATCAGGACTGAGAGTCTAGGCATGGCCAGCAACTACTTCCACTCATAACCACCCCACGCGGGCAGATATGTCTGTGTATCACAAACACGACTTTTACTGTACAACATACTGAGCGGGAAACTTCGTGTCTATCGCGGGTGAGGCGACAGACTACACCAACTCCCGTAACTTTAATTGTGTCTGACTTCGAACCCAGAGGTCGGACAGACAGGCAGCGTCACAATCAAGGACGGACAACGATCTTAGAGCGCGCCGTTGGTAAGCTTGTGGACAATTGATCTGCCCGAGTTCACGTCTCCCCAACGAGCGTTTACAGGGAAAATGTTCAAGCCCTCTAGAGGCTGCCGCAGGATGGCAATGGTGGAAGCAGTAGGAGACGAAGTCGGAGATAGATACTGAGGCCGACAGCCTGACACACCTGCTCTCCCAACCCCCTCACCCCCTAGAGCGATAAAACGGAAAAAAGCAAGTACATGAGAAAGATGATTATTCATGATGTGCGTGGTCGTTTGGGGCCGCTTGGGGTGGCACCCGCCTTCTCGGGCTTGCGCTTCTTGCCTGACTTCACTCCGGCGGCAGCTTTGTCGGCGCTGCTGGGATCGCGGCGCTCGAAGCCACGCTTTACGCTGCCCGTCAGAGCGGTTCGCATCGAGGCACCCGGCCGCAGATTCTCCAGGCCTTGCTCGCGATGCACGTGGACCTGGGCCACCTTGCTGCCAAACACGTCCATGCTGCGGTTCTTGAATTTCTCCTTCTTTGGGCGCAACTCTGCTGGCACCCGGCAGGCCCGTTTCCATTTCTCCTATAGCAGACGAGGGGGGAGACGTTAAGTGATCGTGGAGATGTGTGTGTGGGGGGGGGGTGAGAGGCAACACATGGGCGGAAAAGGCGGTGACGAGGTTGCGTACAGAAGAAAAACTAGTTTTTCCCCTTTAACGGTAGACAAATATGATAAAAAGGATCGGCCTCAGACGTTGGCAAGCGCTCGTCAAGGAGATCGCGACCATAAGGGACGACCAGCGGGAATAAAGGAGGCGTAAAAACCGAAACGAAAAAAGCGGTAGTCGATAAAGGCCTTAACATTGTGCTCGAAGTTCTTCAACATAATGGACGCGAATTCGGTCTTCAGGAGTTTTCAAAACTCAAAACTTGACGCAAGTATTTGCACGTGGCGAAAATCGCTGCAGATCAGAAGACGGAACCGACCTGACTTAAAAGTACAGATGCGTAAGTGCGTGCAGTAATTCTACCAGGCAGGATCAACGCCTACCAGCGTCTAGGCATAGCCTGAACTGAGTATAAGGGATGCTCAGAGTGCAAGCATCAAATTTTATGGCCGACTTTTCCGGACGTAACTTATGAAAGTTGAGAATCTGACCAGTGAGTCATTGGAACTGGCGTAGATATGTGAGTGCTTAGCAAAAAAATTAGAAGTTTTGCAAGTAAATTGTGACCGTCTAGACAGGATAAGCTAGAAGTTGTAAGTGCGTTTTTTTAAATCAGAAGCGGGACACAAAACCAAGATGGTCAACATGAAGAAGTCGATTTTGGTAACAAAAGCGATTGTTTAAATTAGATCATTCGTGGGTAACGCGATTCATGTAGAAAAGAAGGAGTCCCAACCAAAATTCTTAAAAACTGAAATATCTACGCGCTGATTTGTGTATTTGTCCAGCGGTGTTAGATTTTTTTTAGATTAACGAGGCACTCGTTCCTGGAAATAAAGATAGCTTAATTTACTTACAAAAACGACCTGGCGTGACTTAATGCAGCAACGGTTCCTTCACATTCTGACCGATTTTTCAGTCACGAATGTTAGAAGACGGCACGCGTCAAAAATGTACAACAACTGCTCTCTATAAGATATACCGACTTGGGATTATTACTACGATATTAAAAAAAAAACCATTACTTTCCCCTAATGTAGGTGTCCATCTGGCTTTCTGAGTCGGCCACTGGGCAATGCGGTTTATGAATTTGAACGGCATTTTGGGAATGAGTGGTCATTTCCGATAATCGGTTTGCCGTACAATTAGCAAAGGTTAAATAATAGCGAAGCAACGTCCCACTGTTGCATGCAATGGACCCTTCTTATACACATTTAGTAGGAGGGGAGTTGAGTTCCGAAGTCTTCAGGGAAAAGTCCTTATAAGGCCACAGAAAGTAGTCTGTTTTCGAACTCACAAACAACTAGTTCATCAGACACATGCAGCAACTACGCCTCAGCTTGTTACCCCAAGCAAGGCATCCATATTTCTCCTAGCGTGACCTCAGTCACACTCGAGTAATGTGGGTTTGGAGCCCTCCAACATGTTCACTTTACAGTCGGATTGTACTTGTACTACTTGTACTTGATACGGCTGCGATCATGCCTGATCTAGCCGGCCTCGATGATGTCCCGAATTGTACCTCTCCACGCGTGACGATCCGCGGCAGCAGATCTAGACAGCTCAACCCATTCCCTTCGCCAACGACGGAGACCGAATACCGAAGGTCCAATAACCACCTCCATGTCTTGACGGACAGTGTCGAGCCAGGTTTTGAACTGACCCCCTCTTCGACGCCTCCAATGGGGCAACGGTGCCGGATCGAGGGCAGTAACACTGAGCTCCTGAGGTGGACGACGAAGAACGTGCCCGAACCACCTCAGTCGTCTTTCTTGGATGTCCTTAGTTATCCTCGCGATGTTGTCGCAGCGAGCGCGGACTATCTCATTTGAGACGAAGTCGCTTAACTTCACTCGAAGGATGATCCTCAAGTAGTGGTGGTCAAATACCTCCAGTTTTCGCTCATCCGCCACACGCAAAGCCCAGCATTCACAACCGTAGAGAAGGACAGACCGGACAGATGCACGGTACACGCGAATCTTAGTGGCGATGGAGAGGTCACGTCGGTTCCACAGGCATTTCCGAAGGCTTGAAAAAACCCAGCGGGCAGCATCGATTCGGGAGACAATGTCGTCCTTACTCTGTCCATTAGGCAGCAGCCGCGCCCCGAGGTATTTAAAACTGTCCACTTCTTCAAGTTGACAGCCATCAATCCCCAGGGGTGCCTTCTCCTGGTCAGGAATGCAGCTTGAGAATACTTTGGTCTTCCCAGCGTTTATGGACATACCGACTGATTTAGCGACCTCGTTCACTCGTGACACCATAGACTGCAGATCACCAAAACTTGAAGCAAGTAAGGCGATATCATCGGCATAGTCGAGATCAGTCAGTCGATGTCCGAGTGCAAATTCAACACCGTCACTGTCGCGTAGGGCCCTCCCGAGGATCCAGTCAATAGCGTAGTTGAACAGTATGGGTGACAGTATACAACCCTGTCGGACGCCAGACCGAATACCGAACGGTTGGGAAAAATTGTTACGGACCAGGACTCTCGCAGTAGTGGAACGATAGTAGGCCTTGATCATGGCGATGATTTTGGCCGGTACACCATCTAGCGCCATTATCCGCCACAGGGACTCACGGTGAACGGAATCGAACGCGGCGGCAAAGTCAACGAAGCAGACGACCGTCGGTTGTTGGTAGCTATGGCGAAATTCGAGAATGCGCCTCAGTGTGAATATCTGATCTGCGCATCCACGTCCAGCACGAAATCCGGCTTGGTTGGGCCTCATCCTTGAGTCACGCACAGCCTGGAATCGTCCGAGTAGGACAATAGCGAAGATCTTCGCAGCAACGTCGATGAGACTTATGCCGCGGTAGTTCTCGCATCTCGTCTTATCTCCCTTCTTGAGGATAGGTACAAGGATGCCTAAGCCCCAGTCATCAGGAACAACTTCGTCTCTCCACGCGCGTTCAATCACCTCATGGAGCCAGGGCGCCAGAGTGTCGACACAAGACTTAAAGATTTCAGCGGGTATACCATCCTCTCCGGGTGCCTTATTGTTGCGCAACTTTCGTATGGCATCGGCAACTTCTTCCTCGGAGGGGGGATCGCATGGCACTGCATAGGTAGGAGAGGGAAGAAACTCCGCTGAGGAGGAGAACAAGGGCGATGTCGGATGGGTATCGAAGTTGAGATGGTGCTCAAAGTGCTCACGCCAGCGCTCGACTTTGGCTGAGTTGTCAGCAATAAAGCCGCCGTTCACATCGCGAACAGAGTCACTCAGTGTAGAGGGCTTACCGCTAACTTGGCGGATCAGACGGTAGAGCTTTCGAGTGTCACCAACGTTCGAGGCCTGTTCCATGGATGTCGCTATTTCAGCCCAATATTGTTTCCGGTCATCCCTGGCCGATTTTGCCGTCATCTTCCGAAGTTGGCGGAAATGGTCATCGTTGCGGGACCTGGCTCTAGCCGTCTGAGCAGACAACTCCAGGGTTCTTCCGCTGATCCACTCACTGCGGCGTCGCTGGGTGTATCCAAGGATTTTCTCAGCTGCCCCATAGACTGATGTCTTCAGTGACGACCACTGGTTACTGACTTCTCCGTCGACTCGGGCCGTAAAACAGGTCCGGATTTCTCTGCTTAGGGCCTCGGCAGTGCTGGCTTGCCGGATTTTTGCGACATTGAGGCGTCTAGGACGTGGCATTTTTGGTGCGGATGAGAGGTGAACTTTCAGGCGTGTACGGACGAGGACATGATCCGACCCATGGGCGTTACCAGTCTCGGCACCACGCATCGATCTGCTATCATGAACCCAGCTGCGGAACCTTGAGCTGACTAGTATGTAGTCAATCTGACTGGCCTTACGACCGTCGTTTGAATACCAGGTCAGCAGATGTTTTTTGCGATGCTGGAAGCATGTGTTGGTGACAAGCAGTCGGTTTCGATCAGCGAAGTTCAGCAATCTCTCACCATTTTCACATCGAGAACCAAGCCCAAAGCGGCCAAGAAGATGACTGGTTGTGGGGTCGCCAGGTCCAGTTCGACCATTCCAATCGCCAGCAACAATCAGCAGATCGCGGCGAGGCAGTCTTTCAACTAGTGCTTGCAACTGAGAGTAAAACGCCTCTTTATCGCGCTGTTCGGCAGCCGAAGTTGGTGCGTACACAGCGACGATGGAGATGTTCGTGAAGTGACCCTT